ATATACTATTTGTAGTAATTAGTGAAAAGAAGGTGTGAAGATATCTAAAGTTTTTTTTGCTTGATTTTTCATTCATTCATGGCATGATTTTCTTTTTTATTATATATAGATTTAGTTTTTATGAACGAAATAAATTGAACAAACAATAAAATAAATAAAGTGTTTGATGGAAATTAGAGTCATCAACACTTTTTGTTGACTGGGCCTCAACATGAAGGTAGAATAATTGCATAAAAATCTTTAATTGGCATTCAAAACAACAGGGATATTCACAATTACACAACTAGAATTACACAAAACTAGTACAATATTAAATTTAAAACTCTGACCTTTTGCCCCTTAAAGCCCTTTGGAAAGTCCGACCCTGAAAAATTAGTGAACAATTATAATTTAATAATAATTCACCTTGAAGATCCTCAGACATTTTCAACAAATCCTTCCACTGTTGGAGTTTTCCTGCTGAGGCTTATTTTTATAGTCAGTTGGCAAAAATTTATGTCTGAAAAAAGAAAGAAATAAAACAGGATAAAAAAATCATTTTGCCTTCACCAAAATTGCCTCCATGACATTAAATAAACTGTTTCTGCAGGTGAACATTCTTGTCTCCGTGATGGAGGCAGATTTGAAGTTTTCCATCCAGTKCAACTCCACAGAAAAGCAACTCATTGAGCAGGATCTTTACAAAGCACTGAATAATTTGTTCATTTTAGTTTTTGTTGATGTTCAGCCTACATTTAAAACAATGAGAAATATATTTACAAAAAGTATCATTAGACAAATAACGAAGCCCTTAAAATGCCAACATCACAAAATAAAAAGATGTCAACCACTGGCCTTATTTTATATATTGTAAGTTGGCACGAGATTATCACGAGAATAAAGTCATAATTTTACGACATTAAAGTTGTATAAAAATAAAGTCATAATATTATGATTTTAAAGTCAATATTACGAGTAAATCATAAATAATGTAAATAAAAACAGAATGCAACAATGCTAACACTCTTT